GGTCTGATCTTAACTTGATCTAGTATGGTAATTCCGGTGTCTACTCCAGTATTTGTTCTGCAGCAGACTGCAACAGAGAGCAATTTGCTTCTCACATATAAATTACAAAACGAAAATGTAAAAAGTAGCATCTGGCTAGCAAATTTGATTTGTAGGGAAGATTTACAAAATAAAAAATGGGCTGCTGTACTAATACTATACACAACTGGAGCTCGATTTGTCTGGATAGTAAAACTCACATTTATTCTAAAACACGCAGTTTAATTTGAACAAATTCAGAACTCTCCCCTTCCCCACAAACATGCTCACTATTTCTCCTGTAGAAACTAAGTTGGAAAGTTATAGAAGAGCTGAAGTTAAAAGAATGTACTTCTCTTCTTGGGATCAGGAAAATAGCCTTTACCCTTGAAACTCTCAACTAGAAAAATTAAATCTGTATTGTGTACAAGAAAGATATTGCTGCACAATATATATCACACAACCATCTAAGCAATGCAAAAACAGTAACATAAGAAAATAAAGGGAATCTGAACCAAATTTTCTAGACCCATTAGACAGCAATAAAAGACATTTGGCTAATCAGTGAGCCCTTAAACCAGGGGTGGGCAAACTTTTTAGCCCAAGGGCCACATCAGGGAATAGAAATTGTATGGTGGGCCATGAATGCTCAGAAAATTGGGGTTGGGGTGAGGGCTCCAGGGTGGGGCCAGAAATTAGTTCAGGGCGAGGGAGGGGGCTCTGGGCTGGGGCAGAGGAGTAAGGTCCGGGCTCTGGGGTGGGGCTGGGGGTGAGGAGTTTGAGGTGTAGGAGGGTGCTCTGGGCTGGGACCGAGGAGTTCAGAGGGTGGGAGGGGGATCAGGGCTGGGCCAGGGGCGCGGGGAGAGGCTCAGGGCTGCAGGCTCTGGGCAGTGCTTACTTCAAGCGACTCCCAAATGCAGCGGACATGTCCCCACTCCGGCTCCTACACGGAGCCGCGGCCAGGTGGTTCTGTGTGCTGCCCCATCTGCAGGCGCCACCCCTGCAGCTCCCACTGGCCGCAGTTCCTAGCCAATGGGAGCTGTGGGGGCAGCATGCAGAGCAGAGCCCCCTGGCTGCCCCTACACGTAGGAGCCGGAGCAGGGCCATGCCGCTGCTTCCAGAAGCGGCACGGAGCGGTCCCCAACCCTACTTCCCGGCTGGAGCGCCGGAGCAAGGCAAGCCCCAGACCCCACTCCCCAGCCAGGGGCGGCTCTATGTTTTTTGCCGCCCCAAGCACGGCAGTAAGGCGGCCTTTGGCGGCACGCCTGCGGGTGTTCCGCTGGTCACGCGGATTCGGCGGCATTTCTGCGGGTGATCTGCCGGTCCCGCGCCTTTGGCGTACCTGCCACCGAATTGCCACCGAACCGCGGGACTGGCAGGCACGCCGCCAAAGGTAGCCTAACTGCCGCCGCCCCAGGCACGCACTTGCTGCGCTGGTGCTGGAGCTGCCCCAGGCCCCAGCGGGAGCTCGAGGGCCAGCTTAAAACGGCTGGCGGGCCAAATCCGGCCCGCGAGCCATAGTTTGCCCACCCCTGCCTTAAACTAAGGATGTATCTTAATTTTAGAAAGAGTGTGCCCTGCTGGTCAAGAAAAGATTGAAAGGATAAGATGGAATTTCCTGTCATCATTTCTTAAAAAATCATCAGACACTTGAGAATGGAAACCATTAACATCTTAAAACACATTGGAGTCTAAATTAGAGCTGTCACCTTTTTGAAAATGGAATGCTGGACAGTTACAGAAAACTTGCAAAGGGCTGTGGGCAGCAGCCCAAGCTCCAGAAACCTGAGGGGTTTAGAGCCTGAGATGCAATTTCCTTTATCTCTTACAAAATCCTCTAAAATGTCCCATACAATACATAAACCACAATTAAAATGTCAACAACCTCCAAGGCTGATGTATTCCCCAATTTAAACGTATACACTCTTTCAGCTCGAGTCTGTGTTCTGCTATATGCAGCTTATGTCAAAACTCAAGAAGCATGGCAAATGGAATATAAAATTCAGAGGGCAAGCTGCCTGTGCATGGATTTATCCCTGGGAAATTACAGAGCTCAGGAATGTATATGCTACTTGGCATGCAATGTGGGAGGTAGGCACACTGGTCCA